TGGGTTTTCATCCAACCGTAATTGTACGAAGTAAGGGGAAAAATACTTTTTAACTTCGTTCGTAAAACTCGTTAATAGCAAAAAATAATTTAAAAAAGTTCATTGTTTGTGTGTCAGTAAGAAATATAATGAGCAAAACAATCTGAGATGAACAATAAATACAGTTAAGGATGAACAATAAATACAGTTTAGGATGAACAATAAATAGAGTCTGGGATGAACAATAAATAGAGTCTGGGATGAACAATAAATAGAGTCTGGGATGAACAATAAATAGAGTCTGGGATGAACAATAGATACAGTCTGGGATGAACACTTAAATACAGTCTGGGATGAACAATAAACACAGTTTAGGATGAACAATAAACACAGTTTAGGATGAACAATAAACACAGTTTGTGATAGACGATAAACACAGTCTAGGATGAACAATAAACATAGTCTAAGATGGATAATGAACATACTATTGATATGTCAGCATGGTGATCTAATATTTTTTATAAATTAACCTATTTCAATATATCAGCCACACTTTTAAACTCAAAATTATAATAGTCCTTTAAACCTGCGTGTTTCGTGTTTTCTGTGGTATGTGTCGGAGTGCAGGTTGGCCCTGTCGTAGAGCTCTGGATTTCAGAGTTGGCGAGCCGGGTACGAATGCTTCAGACACCGCTAAACATTCCTCGCACTATAAGCCGTGGTTGCGTTATAAGAGTGACAGTCAATCGCTTATCATGGATGGAGGGTGGTTGGGTGCTGTTGAGTGGCTGCCATCCGACTGATCAGTAGCTCAAAACTAGGGATGACTGTAGATAGCTTCAGTAGCTTCGTCATAAATACAAAATACCATTACGTTGCATGTGTCTTGTACTCCGGTTTTAAAATGATTAAGTTTAGACTAAAATGTAGTATAAGCTTATTATAAGTTTAATTATTTTCCTTATCATTAATGATATAATGGTATTATATTATCTTTATTAGTTCATACAGTTAAAAATGCTACGATTTTTATCGCTAGTGAGCCTTTACAGGTGTTGTAGTTACGCAACTTTTCACTTGACATTTTTTTTTTCAGAATCACTCTCCGTTTGACGTGGTTGCTTGGCATGGAAACTATGTTCCTTACAAATATAACTTGTCAGACTTCATGGTATTCAACACTGTTTCTTTTGATCACGCGGTAAGTAGGCTTAGATCATTACAACATCATATTTTGTACGTGATGTGAAATGAAATAGTGAATTTTAAACTATCCAATATTTTGATTGTAAACTTTCATCACTACCGTATAACTTGTCTGACTTCTTGATGATCAGTATCATATCTGTTGATTATACGGTAACATTACATAATTACACTACACTCTGTACATTATATGGAATAATATAGTGAATTAAACTATTATTTTGTAAGTAAGCTTACGTTACACTATGTCTGTAAGTGGCATTGGATAAAATCCTGAGTTAAATTTCCTATTACGCTGTAGATAAACTTGCGTCATTGCAGTATATTCACTACGTGATAGGAAGAAAGTTAATGGATTAAGCTGGCTTATCTACTCTAGCAAACTTAATGGTTGTATAGAAAAAAATTTGCAACATCAGTAATTCAGTATTTCTAATTATTTCGTTATCGCTCTATTACCCTCACCCTGCAAGGGTATTGAAGTCTGGGTTTCCGCGCGCGTATCTCGAAAAATAATGGACCGATGTACATGAAAATTTTACACAAGATGGGAAGTCAGTATGGGACAGTCCTCCCCAAATTTGGTCCGGATTCAGATCCGGATCACTTTGAAGTTTTTTTTTTTAATAATGGGGAGATAGGGCATTTTCGCGGCGGTTAATAACTCTTTAAAGTGTGATCGAATTTGTACCAAATGTCATGGGCACGTTAAGGTTGAGGCTCCTCATCACACTATAAAAAAATGATCCTGATCGTTGATCATTCTGGCTCTGAAACGGATTTTCTGATTTTTCGAAGGTGAAATTTTACGTCATCCAATATAAATGAGCGGCGGGGCACGGGTATGTAATCCCCCTGATTGCTCTTGTTTCTATATGGGAGCATGTGCTATAAAATTAACGATGTTTCATTGTGTTTTTATTCCTTCTTCTCTTCTTTCGTAGGATCCTTCTATTTTCACCGTTCTCACTTGTCCTTCGACCAGACCTGGAGTAGCCATCGCTGACTTTGTTATATTCCCCCCACGATGGTCAACTGCAGAAAATACTTTTCGCCCACCATATTATCACCGTGAGTGGATGCGGTTCCTCTTTTACTTTACGTTAGATCAAAGTATATGTATACACATTAAAAGCATGTTTCCCGATAGTATTAGAACCTCCTATTTAATGAATTTTCTAAATTGTATCAGAAAGTTGATGTTACATAATGTATTTTTTTCGAATGACATTTTCCAAGTTTTGCTCTTGTTTGTGATAAATGATGCTTAGAGTACTCAAAGAAAATATGGTTATTTCAACGCTATCTTGATGTAAGTAGATTCAACAACGTAGTTGGTACATAGTAGCTGAAGTTCGCCCTAACTGGACAAAGTACGGCTATTAGTAACTGTAGTTTGATGAAATATTTAACAACGTACTTGGTACATAGTAGCTGAAATTTGCACTATTTGGAGCAAATACGGTTATTAGTAACTGTGACTTTATGATATATTCAACAACGTGCATGGCAGCTGATAATTCACGAACGTTTGTTTCTTATGTCTGCAGAGTTGAATAACATCTTATGTTTATGAGTTTGTCGTAATTACGCCGTAAAACGAACGAAGTCGAATAAAATTATTGAACAGTTAATCACCTTTTCATTATAATTCCTCATTACTTGTAAAATGTTTAACAAATTGGAATGTAAAAAATGTGTTTTCAGTAATAAAATTGTGTAAGAAATCACAAGATGAGGAACTGTTAGTAAGATAATCGCCTATTATATTTTTTTCAGTTGTAAAAATATTTCTTTCTTGCATAGGTATATTTGCTTTTATTATCAATACAAGTAGATAATAACCAAAAAAAGTGAGTTTTTCAAGAAACATCGCATGGTCTTGCTACATGTGTAGATTGTTTTATGTTTTTGTAACTTTACTGTTTTTTACATGTAGTTGTGGTTTTTTATCTTACAGGTAATTGCATGAGTGAGTTTATGGGCCTGATTTATGGCTCTTACGAAGCCAAGGTATATATTTTCTGCTTTGATTGCCTGTCTTTGTACTTATTCAAACTCTTAACAAAAAAGCCTAAAGAAGTAATTAACAACTGTTGCCACCTGTAACTATTTGACGCACCTGTTCTATAGTTCATTTTATTTGGTTGCAAAAAAAAAAAAGAACAAAAAATAGGATGAAACTGTTTGTAATTTAAAGTGAAATCTCCTATATATTTTATAAATTGCAATACAACCCGGCTTGTTTTATTAGCGGTAAATTCGCAAAGACATATATATATATATTCGTATTCTAGATATAATCTAAATAATATACACAGCCTACAAATACGTAAATAGAAAGCCACTCTAATGCTGTTTTATTAAATAAACAAGCATGAAATAAGGGGTACAAGATTACTATTAGTATTTGACGGTGCTTCTGCGTGGAATATTTAAGACAGAAACACAGTCACCCATTTTGTTTACAAGATCTGAAGTGAGGACCTATATATAACTTGGATGAAGGTGTCCCTAACTGTTTGTTCCTTGGGGCGCTTTCACTGGGAATAATCAAGTATGCACAATACGAACTCGATAGGATTCATATTAGGCTAATGACCTAATCGCAGGAGAATGGTAATACCTTGAACTTGAAGCCATTGTTTTGTGACTTAGGATTTAAGAGCAGGAGTCCCTTTTTAAATGAAAATACTGCCATGTCTCTGATAAGCTGGTTATTGGCATAGACAGATAGAAGACCTTGCTCGAGAACTGTAATGTATCGAGTTGTGGGCGTCCTTTTTTACACCACCATCTGTGATGATTATCCTTTCACACACCATCAGTTGTGACAGTTCAGCTGTCGAAGTGGTATCGACATTGTAAGAGGATGTATCTAGAAGAAGAGATTGTCCCTCTATATATCAGCTGTGATGATCGTCCCACCACATATCACCAGCTGTAATTGTCCAGTTATCAAAGTGGGATACACACTTTAAGAGGATGTATTGAGAAGTAGTGATCGTCCTTCCACACATCACCAGTTGTGATTGTCCATCTGTCTAACTAGTAATATCAGCGTAAAGGATGTATTGAGTAGTATTCAACTGTACGACATGGTGATCATTATCAAACTATATCAGTATTTATACGTCGGAGTTATTTGCACATTACGTCATGTAGCAGGTCGTTTTATATTTGCGGGTGGGATGGTCTATTTACTTATTAGTAGGCTGTGTATAACCATGTTTTTATTTTCGTGGTTATGCTTAAGATATATAAAAGTTATGATGGCAAGCTATGTTCGTGGGGTTTATTTTCGTTCATTAAAAAATAAGTATCTTTGTGTAAGAATTAGTTAAATACTTTTATTCCATGATAAAATATACCAGTATTAATTGTTAAATATTTGGATGTCCTACGTAAATTAAGTTGAAGCAAGAGGTTTTTCTAAATATTATTAGGTTCCACTCATGCCATCACAATAGCAGCTAGTTATTTGGAATAAACATTTTAAAACAACATTTCTTTATAGGAGGATACTTTAAAACCAGGTGGGGCTACTTTACACAACATAATGACACCTCACGGTCCAGACAGTAACTGTTTTGAAAAAGCATCCAATGCACAGCTGGTTCCAGAAAAAGTAGCTGAAGAAACAATGGTAATTTATTAAATGAATACAACATTAATCTTAGAAATATTTCACGGTTGCCTCGCATAATGGGAAAAAATAATAAATTTTCAAAATTCAAAACCACCCTTGAATAGCACAGAGGATGAGTACGTTATATTAAAAGGTTTTAGGCGTCAAACACGTAGTTTCGGTCCATTTCGCCACGTAAGGTCATGCTCTGTCTGATCACCGTGCATCTTGACAATAATCCTGAAGTGCAATTTCCATTGCAAAAGATTCCGTTATAAGGCTGTCATATCGAAAGTAAACAAAGCACTGCTCCCTGTAGACTTTTCATATTGCATTTACACTTCACAATAAATGTAGGATAAAATAAAACAACATATACCCACATCCAGAAGAAATAAGAGTGTGAAAGAAAGTAATTTACCATGTCGCTCCTGTAAAACAAAAGTTCTACCAC